CCCACCAGTTTCCAACCAGGTCAGATCTGTTCTGGCCAAGTCCTCCGTCGCAGAAGGCGTAGTGACTCTCTCGAAGAGAGCCCGCCAGAGGCGACGTCAACGCCTTGCGCGGCAATTCGCAAAGGCGATGGAGTGGATCTGAAGAACAAGAGAGGCAAGCAGCCTCAACAATTGATGAATGGCAGTTCTTCCAAGCCGCCAACGAACGAATGGATCCGTGTCAAACGGAATCGATTAACGCTTGAAGAGCGTATTCGCAAGCGCCATGCACTTTTAGCGCAGGCTCGGGCTCAAGTCCAAGAAGCCCATAGAAGACTGCAGAAGGAAGTGGCGAAGAAGCCGCCACCAACCCGCCAAGTATGGAAGCCGAAGTCTGAAGCGGCGATTCAGGCTAAGGCATAACCTTTGCAGCCTTCGAAGCGAGTTCAACCTCCGGCGAACCGACCGAAGTCGCCGATAATTCCAGTAGCTACTCCGGGAGATCCCGCGGAATCATCCCGAAGAAAGAAGCCAGTTTTGGAGCGCCTCGGTCCACTTCCCGACGGACGAGGCAAAACTCCAGTTCAAGAGCGTTTGGGCCCGATGAAGAAGCCCCGAACGACTCAACATGCTGGGGGTCGCCGCCACCTTCAGCATGACAAGGAGTTCAAGGCAGTTGCGCACGCTAATTTGCGCATTGAAGTCTAAGAGCCCGCTGAGAACTCACGCCCACAAAGGCATGTTTTGAGGCGCGTAACTTTTGAAAGGCCAAAGAAGGTAGTTCACCCTCAGAAGGAAACATTGTTGTCTGATAACGACGTTATACCTGAGAAGTCGTGCCAACACACGATAGGTTACTCCGACCGTCAAGCCGATGAGTTGTACTATCGTGATGGGAGCACGAGGAAAACCAGGAAGAGGAGTCCTCAAAGACTAGAGACTCAATGCCCCTGCTCCAAACTCATTCGGGCGGTATTGTCTGAGTGTAACTGCATCAAGGCGGCCCCCGAAAGAGTTTCGGTTTTTGAGAGGCTCAGCATCCAAACGCCAAAACCGAGGCCTAGGCGTTTCCGACGAAAAAGAACGGTGGTTGAAGACGGAGAATTTCCGAGGGTCACCACTAACATGACCAGCAAAGGGACATCGACATGAAGACGGAGAATTTCCGAGGGTCACCACTAACATGACCAGCAAAGGGACATCGACACAGGATAATCCTAGGTCGATTCCTGAGGCATCCCGGCCTATGACCCGTCTACAGTCTGGGGCCATCAAACGAGGAACCTACGGTAGGGTTCGGACAAGGGTACCTTCAGAAGATGAAGAATCGGATGCCGGCTCTGCGGTTGCATCAGATAATACGGTATCCAGCGAGGGACAACCCCGCGAAGCACTTATGATAAGTGCGGAACAAGTGGCTAAAATGCTCGAAGAAGCCATGAGTAAACAACAGGAGAGCTTCAGGTTCGAAATGCAGATGGCCATGTAAAATATGAGAGAAATGCATGACCAACAAATTCAAGCATTGACGAACCTGCAAGGCGAACCAAGTCGTCGTAATCAGGTTCATCAGGAAGATGAAGACACAAATGCAAATGAAGCTCATAATCCTCCCGTCAATGCAGGGGGTGTTCGCGGGGAAAATCGTTGCTTTCTTCATTAATGATTCCATTGTCATCTTGAGTTACAACTTTTTGAGTTACAAAAGATCCGGTCTTTTTATAAGATCCGGTTACAACGAAAATCAAATAAAGATAAACAAAGATTACAACTTTTTTTCCTTTTGTGTCGAACGAATTGCGAGCTCCTGTTTTGCGGTCGCTCGCTTTGTGGGTTCTTTGCCTGCGCCGGGGTTGTTTGCCGTGGACCACCGCGCGATCTAGATCCGGTCAGATCTACGCAGTACAACGGGTATTATTTCACCAAGGAAATAATAGCCGGGGAGGATTGTTTCACCAAGGAAACAATCGTCCAAGTCTCGGGATCTAAGACCAAGCTTAGATCCGGAGTGTAGCGACGTAGATCTGAGATCCGGTCCTCTCGAACTCCTGCCTTATTTGGCGTTGATGATCGTCGAGCACCAGATCTGGATGTGCAAGTCCTCGAAGTCCTAAAGCTTGAATCTTGTTAAGTTCTGAGTCTTGAGTTCGGCAGGGCTTCGCCTCTCCAAAATTTCCCAACCCTTCAAAATGAACAACCCCCTCTCCTATTTATAGCCAAGCGTCACTGTGCCCGTGTGCACGTGTGGCCGACACTCAAGGTGGCCGGGCCCCTCAAGGTGGCTCGGCTCATGCCGAGCCACCCTGAGGTGGCTCGGCCACCCCAAGGGGTGGCTCGGCCTTGGCCGAGCCACCTCAGGGTGGCTCGGCTTGGGCCGAGCCACCTTGAGGTGGCTCGGTTTCGGCCGAGCCCCTCCGGGTGTTGTTCGTTCCGTCATTTTCCGTTGTCCGGTTCTGTGCTTCGTTGTTGATCTGGACTTGATTCGGTTGTGTTTCTGTTGTGTGGTTGATTGACCTGGAAACGACTCGTTGACTTGATTCCAGATTTGGCAGTAAGTCGGGTTCCGGAATTGATCTTGATTCGATCGTGATCCATCCGAGTTCGCTCTTGTTTGGATGACTCGGTGATTCCCCGAAACCGTTGGTTGGATTCCGCATGCGAGTGGATGCATTCCGATACTTGAGTGCGATTTGTTGACTTCGTCGCCTCGTTAACCTGCTCCATCGCGTATAGCTTGGCTTCGGCGTTTGCGGGCTAAAGGTCTTGCTTGGATACGTCGCCCGATGGTCCTTTTGTTGAATCGGCGTCGTCGAGCTACTCAAGGGACCTATAGGCAATTTTATACGCCTACAGATACCCCCTCCAAAGTATTTCAGTCTCGTTCTTTTATAGAAGAGTCTGGAATACTTTGGATGTGATTGTCCCAACCTTCAGTCGGTGTAACGGGACTTTGGAATGGCTTCTGTTCTGGATTCCTTCAATTCCTTCATGCTATTCGGTGCTTTGTCGAACGTCTGTAAGGAATTCGGTGCTGCATTTATTGTCTGACCGTTGTCGGAATTTTGAACTCGAAGTCGATTCTTGATTTCCTGACTTTTTAGCTCGAGTTTGCTGCTTCAACACAGAACTAATCATCAGTCATAGGCGTTGAATCTTTGTTTATAACGCGTTGTCCGGCGTTTGAGCTTCCTGGTGACGCGTTGTCCGGCGTCCAGGCTTCATTACAACGCGTTGTCCGGCGTTTGACATAGTTTATACTCGTACGTCTGCTGGAGTATACACAGTTTAAGCTCTTAAGGGATTGGAGCGTGGCAGACACTTGAGTCACGAGACCAATCTATAAAATTGATGCGTCGATGACTCGTATCTATAGAATTTTGCTTGTTTCTCCCATATTATCGATCTAATTCTTCAAATAGGAATTCTTCAGCGAATCCTTCGAACAAGATCCCAAGTCCAACCCGGATCTCTGATACCACTTGTTGTGCGCAGCGGAAATTTCGGCAGCACTTCGGTAGCACAACAAGAGAGATTAGATCGATAAGAATTCCCGTCTCACCAAGGAAACAAGAATCTGAAGCGGATATCTCAACCAAGTGAGATATCGGCTCTTCCTCTCATCAGTTCTAGGACTGACCTGTCGAGGGATGCTACAAGCTATTACAAATCACGACAAGAACACAACTTTTTACGTGGTTCGGCAAATAGCCTACGTCCACGGGGCAAGGAGGGGGAGATCTACTATTAGAGGGAGAGATACAACTGAGGTTTACAATCTCACAATCTAAACACTCTCAAACAAACTCTCAAATCCCTCTTACAAATATTCTCTCAAAGGGTACAAAAGTCTGCACAAAAACTCCTCTGCTGGAAAAATATTCACTTGCTTGCACTACCGCTCCTTTACTCCCTTGAGCAGCCGCCAATCAAGAGAAAAACAAAACTCCAGCCTTGCACTTGCTCCTGTTTTTCGTACGCCCTTTGCACAAGTCCAGCCGCAAACCTCCTTACCACCTCTTCGCTCGCACACCTAGGGCACAAGAAAGAGTTATATATAGAGTTGTTCGGGTCGTGGGCCTCAGGATCCGATTTTCACAAGGCTGATTCGGCTCAAGTCCTTACATCAATTGAGAACATCATTCACGTGGGTAGGTCCCACATTCTCCACCTCATTCACGTGGGCTATCTTCTCACGCGCAAAAAACGGAAAGGTAAACACCGTGGCCCCCACTCACAAAATCTTAGCGAAATTTTCTCTGCTACTACCACTCAAACATAGGGTCTCAACTCTCTAGATATGATTGCAAAAACTCAAAATTATAGTAGAATATGTAAGGACTCTTATGTTAGGAATCGAATCTACCTACAATAATTGGAAAAGACACATATTTCTATGCGGTTAATTTGGGAAGATGTTTACATCCATGGTTACACTAGGATTTTTTTTTCTACATACCTGATGAGGGTGCTCTTTTATACACACACGCACATATGTGTGTGTATGTATGTGTTATATAGATCAAGGGTACAAGCTACATGTAGAATTACTAATTTATTTTTTGACGCAGACGTAGAAACGGGGAGGCCGATCGGATATCATTTCGATGTCGACGAACCCTGACAATAACAGGTAGATAACAAGCTTGAATCCACAAGCCCTAATTTTCCCAAGTTTAGGGAAGAAAACAATGGAGAAATTTCTCTTGATTCAATAATTGAAAAGTTAATTCTCGATTTACAAAAGGAACTAATATTTATAGCCAACTAACTCTATCCTAACCCTAATCAAAAAGAAAATCCGAATTTAAAAGGAAATAACCAAAAATATAAAACTTTTCTAATTTGTTTCCTAGTCGACATGAGGCGTGTCGAGTAGTAACGCCTCTCGTGTCGACTGGCATGTGTCGACTAACACGGCCCTTCGTGTCGACTGGGGTATGTCGTCTCGTCTTGTCGCCTCGGCTCAAGTTGAGACGTCGAGTCGTCGTCAGCTAATGTGTCTCGGCTGCTTTCTTCTTGTCTCATCCAAAACTTGATCGGCTGTTTTTTCTCCTCGTCTCGTCCAATATTTGATCTCCTATATCAGTCCCTCCTTCGGAAAAACTCGAATACAACTTGATTGAAGGATGATAATCAGAAATATTCGTCATGTTAAATGTTGCCGACATAGCCATTCCTTCTGGAAGATCCACTACATATGCATTATCATTGATCTTCTTGAGAATCTTGAACGGGCCATATCGTTTCGGCTTAAGCTTGCTATAAGTTCCAACCGGTATCCGTTCTTTCCGCAAGTAAACCATCACCATGTCTCTTTCATTAAACACCTTGAGTCGCCTCTTCTTGTCTGCTCGCGCCTTGAACTTTGCATTAGCCTTCTCGAGCTTTGTACGTACTTCATCCTGAACGTTGAAAGCATTCTATGCCAATGAACTTGTTGCCTCGCTGAACTTGCTACTTGTCGGCAACTTCAACAAATCTTGGAGATGTCGAGGTATTTTCTTGTAAACAATGGAAAAAGGAAACATATCTGTGGAACTATGAACAATCAAGTTATAGGCAAATTCAGCTTGAGGTATAACTTGATCCCACATCTTTGGCTTCTCTCCACATATGCATCGAATCAAGTTCCCCAAAGTCCAATTGACCAATTTTGTTTGTCCATCCGTCTGAGGATTGGCTGTACTAGAATACTTTAATGAAGTGTCAAATCATCACCATAAAGTAGTCCAAAAAGTCGCCAAGAACCTAGTATCCCTATCTGAAACAATCAACTAGGAACACCATCTAGCCGAACCACTTCTTGAAAGAACAGCAGTGCAACATGTGGTGCATCCGAAGTCTTGTGGCACGGGATGAAGTGAGACATCTTAGAAAAATGATCCACTACCGCAAAGACCGAATCCACGCCTCTTTGTGTTTAGTGAAGTCCCAACACAAAGTCCATAGTCAAATCTTCTCATATATCCTTAGGCACAGGTAGAGGAGTATACAAACCAGTATTCTGTACTTGTCCCTTTACAACTTAGCACACTTGACAGCTCCTCACAAGTGTTGTCACATCCTTCCTCAAACTTGGCTAATAGTATCGCTCTCCAAGACTCAAAACAGTCTTGTCTCGTCCAAACTGTCCGCCAAGCCCGCCACCATGTAAGTCTCGAACTATCTTTTCCCTCAATGACGTCTTTAGAATACAAAGCTGATTTCCTTTAAACAGAAAGTCGTTCATAATAATAAAGTCTGTTGTGGGTTGTCTTGTCAAACAATTTGCCAAAACCTCCTGAAAGTCTTCATCGTCAACATAAAGCTCTTTCAAACTATCAAAAGCAATAACTTCACCTTGCAATATGCTTAACAAAGATACTCGCCGACTCAAAGCATCGGGCACCTTATTGTCGACTCATGACTTATGTCGCAAAGTGAAATTGACCTGTTCAAAGTATGAAACCCAACGTTCATGCATTTTGTTAATATGTTTCTGATTTTTTGAAGTGTTGAAGAGACTAATGATCTGAGTAAATCACGAAGTCGTTAGCAATGAGGTAGCTCTCCTAAGTCTTCAAAGAACAAAAAACAACATACAACTCCTGCTCGTAAGTACTCCACTTCTGTCGAGCTTCATTCAACTTCTTACTCAAGAAAGCAATGAGCCACTTCTCTTGAGAAAATACTGCTCCAATACCTACACCACACGTGTCACACTCAAGCTTAAAGAGCTTGTCGAAATCCGGAAACGCCAAGATAGGTGCAGTGGTAATCTTCTCCTTAATAAGGGCAAAAGTTGCATTTGCTTCATCCGTCCACTCGAAAACACCATTCTTCTTCAAACAATCAGTCATAGGAGCAACTATAGAACTAAAATTACGAATGAAACGCCGATAAAAAGATGCTAACCCATGAAAACTCCTTACTTCAGTAACACTTTTCAGAGTCGGCCAATCCTTGATTGCCTTGACCTTATCTTCGTCGACTTGGATTCCCTACGAGCTCACCACAAATCTCAAGAACACAAGTTGAGTCGTTAAGAACACACACTTCTTAAGGTTGATGTAAAGTTCATTCTCCTTTAGCACTTGAAGGACTTCTCGGAGATGCAACATATGCTCCTGTTCATCTCGGTTATATATGAGAATGTCATCAAAGTAGACGACTACAAATCTTCCCAAGAAAGGCTTCAAATTTTGGTTCATCAAACGCATAAATATGCTTGGAGCGTTCGACAACCCAAAAAGCATCACCAACCATTCGTAGAGGCCCTCACTACTCTTGAATGCAGTCTTCCACTCGTCGTGGGGTTGGATTCGGAACTGATGATAGTCACTACTCAAGTAGATCTTCGAAAAGATGCTCGCGCCTTCCAACTGATCCAACATGTCGTCCAGACGTGGGATTGGGAATCTGTAGCAAATTGTAATCTTATTAATGGCTCTACTATCTACACACATCCGCCAACTCCCATCCTTCTTTGGTGTCAACAGGGTTAAAACTACGCATGGACTCATACTCTCTCAGATATGGCCTTTCTTAATAAGGTCCTTAATGGTGTCTTGTAAAATATTCTTCTCTTGCGGGTTCATATGATAGTAAGGAAGATTAGGAAGCACTGAACCCAAGATGAAATCAATGTGGTGCTAAATATTCCTTATGGGAGGAAGGCCCGTTGGCAACTCTTCAGGAATCAACACTTTGAACTCCTTAAATAGCAATTTCTTCTTCTCTGGGACCTTGATGGGTGTCTTTACTTCTTCCTTCACAACTAAAGCAAACCTCTATTTCAACTCCTTTGACTCGGTCAGAAACTCTCCCTTGTTGCAAAGAGAAATACATTTGGATTTTTGATCCTTTGTGTTCTTTGGGGAGGGTGGAATTGGTGGTAAAATAATCTTCTTGTTCATCCATACGAAAGAGTATTCCTTCTTCTTGTCGTCATGCTTAGCATCGACATCATACAGCCACGGTCATCCTAACAATATATGGCACGCGTCCATATCCACAACATCACAAGCAACAGAATCACTATAAGTCTTGTCTAGTGATAGTGACACGCGGCATACTTCGGTCACCTTCATGAAGGGACCCTTCTTGATCCATCCGATGGTATAAGGAACGGACTTTGCTTCAGTCGGTAGTTTCAAGTGGTCCACCAAGGCCTTTGACACTATATTTTCACAACTTCCATTATCAATGATGAGGATGCATACCTTGTTGTTGATTGAGCATCTAGAAAAGAAAATTTGGTATCATTGTGATGAATATGGTGTCTTCTAAGTGCATAGGAGTCTTTGAACAATACACGACACATTGTCGCCCTCAATCTCGGCAACCTCTTCCTTGTACTCTTCTTCAGATATTGTGCGTCCATCCTCAACTTCCTCATAATTCGTAAGATTAACCTTCCGCCGTTGTGGTCACTCGTTGGACTTATGCCCTGGTTGGAGACATCGGAAACACTTCCCTACAGTCGGTTTGGCATACGGACTTGCTTGAGTCATCGGGGGTTGTGGTTGAGTTGTCGACCGCTCGGCCAACCATAGAAGAACAGGCTGATCAATCATCCTTTACCCGGTCGACTCTCCTCTCGCCTTCTTGACCAAACCTCCATGTTCGGTTCTTCTGAAAGGTAATGCTTTGGAGGACAATCTTTCTGCCTTGAGAGCCATATTATGGGTTTCGTCCACAAAGTACACGTTATGGATGGTCACCTTCTCTTGAATTGAATACTTCAAACCTCCGATATATTTGGCAGCGAGTTGCTCTTTGCTCATAGACAAATCACAATGAGAAGTAAGATGGAAGAACTCTTCGGTATATGCACTTACTGATCTGATTCCTTGACGGTATTGCTCGAACTAGTTGTAGAGAATTTGTTGGTAGTCGGGTGGTAGGAACCTAGCTTGTAGTAACTGATTCATGCGTCACCAAACCCGAACTGGTTGCTTGCCTTGCCATCGCCTAGTGTTTTGAGTCTAGTCCCACCATGCCGCGGATCCTCCTTTGAGACGATATGTCACAAACTTCACCTAGTTTGCTTCTGGAATATTAGCCATCTCAAAAATCTTCTCCACTTCGTAGAGCCAATCTAGGAAAGCCTCTATGTCCAGATTTCCTCCAAATGAAGGAAGCTCTACTTTGGTCTGATATTCTTGTTCTTGATGATGTCGGCCTTGTCGGTGGTAGTTGTTACGACGGTTGAAGCCTCTACCCCGACCTCTGCCATGAGGTCGATCTCCCTCTTCTTCGCTCGACACGTTATCATACCATGGTCCTTCAAATTGGTTACCATAGTCCACTCCGTCGTTATTGTAATCATCATGGGGAAGGGTTTGATTGGGAAGTCATCAATGATGTAGAGGGGTTGATATTGAGGAGGTTGATATGGAAGGGGTTGATATGGAGGTGGTTGGTTTGGACGTGGTTGATTTAGAGGGGGATGAACTGGAGGGGTTTGAGGATTGTACAGGGGTGGATGTCAGGGTAGCCTAACTCTGGGTCCGTTTAGGTGAAGACCATCGGCGAAGTTATTCTCATTGTTGAGGTGAAGGGTAAGTCCATCAATGGTTTGTTGAAGGTTCTGAAGAGACGCCTCCAACATGCCAAATCTTCCATCCAAGAATCCATCTTTGTAGAAAGATCCTATAGAGAAAGCTCCTTCTCACCGTCACCTGCCATTGTCTAGGATGTTGAACCCGAAGCTCTGATACCACTTGACGCAGATGTAGAAATGGGGAGGCCGATCGGATAACGTTCTGATGCCGACGAACCCTGACAATAACAGGTAGATAACAAGCTTGAATTCACAAGCCCTAATCAAAAAGAAAGTTCGAATTTAAAAGGAAATAACCAAAAATATGAAACTTTCCTGATCTATTTCCGAGTCGACACGAGGCGTGTCGAGTAGTAACACTTTTCGTGTCGACTGGCATGTGTTGACTAACACCGCCCTTCGTGTCGACTGGCATATATCGACTAACATCGCCCTTCGTGTCGACTGGGGTGTGTCGTCTCCTTCTGTTGTCTCGACTGTCGACTAGGGTATGTCGTCTCGTCTTGTCGCCTCGACTCAAGTTGAGATGCCGAGTCGTCGTCCGCTAATGTCATCTCGGTTGCTTTCTTCTCGTCTCGTCCAACACTTGATCGGCTGTTTTTTCTCCTCGTCCCGTCCAATACTTGATCTCCTGTATCAATTTTTTCTACATAACTTATAATTTTTGGAGGTTAACCCGAATAGTCCAATTAGACATTACAACTCTAATTAACATCCGGCCTATTGATAATTATAAGGGGTTTTTGCTTTTAGTAAATTTCTACTTAGTTAACCAGCCTCATTGTTGCATTTGATCATAAATATTTGTCCTCTCTTTAGAAACATTAGTGAGATCGGTTTAAACAGCAATACAATCAAACCTTGAAATTACATATTAATTAACAAATCTTTTAAGTTTACCAAATCTTCTTTAGCTAGATCATAGAAAACACACAAAAAACAACTTTCATCCGTTACTTCAACCATAATTGACACAGGACAAAGTATCCGTAATCTTCATTTATTTATTGTACTATTGCAACGTATAAATGTTTATTGTTGCGTTAATGGAGTTTGCGATTACTATAATGATTCTAGTATAGATATTTTAATGTTTGCATCATTAATACAACGAATGGGAAATTTCATTTCTGAAAGAACAATAAACTGGCTTTCGACCAAGACAGTTACGTAACATTAGAGAATTTGGGAGTATCGATAAACATTTTCTAAACAATAGAAAGTGTAATTAATGTTGGGGAATTTTAGTTCCCCCACATACTACGATCTTCACAACTCGAAAGCCAACCTACAATCAACAAGATATAAAATAATCAGAATTAAGAAGAAAGAACACCAAGATTTATGTGGTTCAGTCGATCAATTTTGACCTACATCCACGGGACAACAATACGAGAAATTCACTATGTATCAGAAAGAGCTGCAAGAGGAACCACTCAACTCTTATATCACAATCTCTCAACCTCACATCATAATCAACTATCATTTTCTCTCAAAAACTCACTCGTTACAATCTTTTGAATGGAGAGTGTGAAACCCTCTTCTAGTGTTGTAATCTTTTGTACGGACAAAGACTACGATATCATCGTCTCTCGTATAATATTCTTGAATCAGCCTATGTCTTCTGCTTACCCTAAATCATAAGAATATTTGCTCTCTATCATCTCATTGAATTTTCCTCCAACAATAGAAGAATATATATAGGGAAATCAAAACATTATCTTTAGTCTAACTTCCTGATTAGAATAGGACTCAAACTCTGTATCATGATGAGACTCTATCTTTTAATCATGATAGATCTCTAACACTATTTAATTCTTATGAAGTTATATAAAGAATCAAGTACACAATCCCAATAATTAACTCTAAAAAATTATATTATTGTTAAATGGGCATGTAGCAAGTGTGTTGCATATGCTCTTTTGATTATTGAAATATTGAAGGGAGTACCTCTTACACTCGGACAAGTTATTACAAATTAAACAAATCATGTGATCACCAAAAGCAATCATTGATTTGGACTCGAACAATTGTCCATGAATCCGATATTCCTAGAGAGGGATGTGTACTGTGATTTTATGGTTAGAGCATCGGGCTCTTAGATTGAATTTTAATTTTTGTGAGTAGAATTCTTAAACTTTTGGTTTGGACTCTTAGACACTTACTTTGGATTCGTAGATTGAGGGTCAGATTCTCAAACTAAATTTTAGATTCGTACATAATATGCATTAAGAGTTTCAAATTAAATTATTACGCTAAATAATAATCATGAACAAA